GTTGGCAGCACAACCCTGGACAAGGCATGTTCTTCTGTTGGATCTGTGGGATTGACCAGGGCCTTCTGCTGCTGAGCATCCATCTGGGTGAGCTGGGAGCAGCTGAGTTTGGGCTTCCCCTCCTGCCATCCCAGGGCTGACCTGCTGTAGGAGTCCTAGAGGTGGTGCTGGAGCCTGTCCTGCTGATGGAGCATAATTCCCAGGCTACCTGGGAAGCTATCTCAGGAAGCAGCTGCTGGGTAACACTGAACACTTGAGTCATCACAGCACAAAGATTAATGGCACTGGGATGGACCTCTGCTCTGGAGAGTGTGGGGAAAAACAACCCTGGTTCTAGGACAACCCCCAGCAGGGTGGCATGTGTGTGCCTGTGTGGCCTTCAGAGAAAGCCTTCCACAGCAGATACTTATCAAAACATCCCCCAGCATCCCCTTCCCAAGCACTAAAACCCTTTATCTGGGTTTTGCAGCCTGCCCTGCCTCCTGCTAGCCGAGTTTAACCTTTCTTAGGGTTTTTAACTCTGACCTGCCTCTTGCTAGCCTGACCTTGCACTGGGAGGAGGGTGGGCTGATGTGTCCCTGCTGCCCTGGCCTCTGCCTGGTTACTCCAGGGCAGGGATGCTCACAGCACCTCCATGTTCCAGTGCTTTTGTGATTGCAGGCGGGAAGGCTCCAGCTTTCCTGTTCTCTCTGGAGGTCAATGCCCGGCAGTCCCCTGTCCTCCCCTGCTCCCAGCTCAGGTCACCTCCCAGAAGCAGCCTCTGAAGTGGTGACAGGGAGCTGGTCTGTGAGGAGGGCTGTGGATGCACCGGATCTGCCACAACCTGCACATTGGCCATGAGTTCTTGGTCTTTCTGCCTTCATCTACCCTGGGGCACCAGTGACAAACATCCCTGTATCAAGTGCCCTGATTTTCCTTCGTGCTGATGTGAGTTGCTGCCCTGGGCAGGGGGGGTGGCTGTGGCCTCCTGGCTTCCCACTCTGCTGTCATTCATGGTGACCCACAGCAGCTGCCATGGGGCTGTTGCCTCTGCAGAGTGTCCTCCATTTCTGTGCCAGGAAAACTGCAGGTAAGACTCCCAAGGTTGTGTCCCTGCAATAACTGGGAGTGTGTCCTTCCTCTGCCAGAAGCTGTGCTAAGGACACAGGCAGACTCTACACAGCACTTGTCAGGCCACAGTTGCAGTGGAGTTGGAA